CTTCATGATTTTCATTGCTGGTTTCTCTTGACTTTTGGCTTTCACTGGGGTTGTCCACCTGGCCTATTGAATCTTGGTTTCTTTAAAAACCCAGCCATGTTACGTGACTATGGTTTTGTTTTAATCTCAGGTGTGGGCTATAACGCTGTTTCAGATTGTCCACAGCTGTTAACTATGATTTGCCTCGTGCACTGGCAGAGGTGTGATTTTTTTTTTTTTTTTTTTTGCCAGCTGCAGATAGTTGGAATTCTGGGGATTCTAGAGAGGGTATGAATGCCAGAGCCCAGAGGGTGGTGGGGGTCCTCTGAAGAAGGCAGCTGCTTTTCTCTACTGCTCCTGGTTGCTGAAAAGATGTTAGAGATATCTTCAAACAAAGATTGGACTTTCATCAAGGAACCCAACAGCCCTCATCATCAGGAAGTATTAAAGAGACAAATGTCCCCTTTCCCCTCTAACCTTCTTTCTTACTTGTCAAGGGGACTGGGAGGAATAAGAACCCCAAAGCAGCATAAAAATATGCCAGCAGCCTTTACCCTAGTTTAGCCAGCTCATTTCCTCAACAGGAGTCTCCAACTCCTCCAGACTGCCTCAGGTCTGACCTGTTATACAATCTTGCAACACTGTGTACTTCTTTCTGCCATGGTCATTTTTCCTGAAACAGTTTTTGCATTACTGCTTAGTGTCTTTCTTCTGATAGGTCATGAGACCCATCGGGCAGAGACCAACTTGGCTCGTTCAGCACCGTCTCCTAAGTACTTAGCCTGGTGCATACTGGGTGACTGATGCTCAATAAATGTTTGTTGAATGAACCAACACTCTCCTGCAGGAGACTCTTGCCAGGATCTTATTACTGTCTTTTGGATCTCACTGCACAGGAGACTGGATTTCAGAAAAGGATTTCTGGGCCTTGAGTGTAGTTCAGTGGTAGAATGCTTGCTTAACAAGTACCAGACCTGGCTGGAGAAATGGCTCTGAGCTTAAGAGAACTGGCTATTCCAAAGGTCCCGAGTTCAAATCCCAGCAACCACATGGGGGCTCACAACCATTTAAGATGAGATCTGGTACCCTTTTCTGGAGAGCAGGTGAACACACAGGCAGAACATTGTATACATAATAAAAAGTATATCTTAAAAAAAATTAAGGCCCTGGGTTCAGCCCATAGTACCACACACACACATTTCTATTTCTAGAATAAAATTTGCAGTTGCTCTGTGTGCCCTGTCACAGATTCGACAATCTGTTACAAAATCCTTCCACCTATTCTTTCAATGACTCTACCTTTAAGATTGAAATGTTAAGTATCTAGCTCCTAAGGAACTTTTTACATAAAAAGCTGAATCCTTACATATGAGCCAGACCTTATCAGAAATCCAGCAGATCTAAGGGGAAGAGAAAATGTTAGTATGGTGGGAAGGATGATAAGACCTTTCTGCACTTCACATCCGTAGCCATGGTCCTAAGCACAGTCTCACAGATTCCCAGATTTGGTAATCTTCTGGCGCCACAGGTTTTCACCTCACACCAAGATGGGCAGCACACGCCTTTAATCCCAGCACTTGGAAGGCAGAGGCAGGCAGCTCTGTGACTTCGAGGCCAGAGATCTACAGAGTTCATTCCAGTACAGCCAGGACTACACAGGAAAACCCTGTCTTGAAAAACAACAAAGCATGGGCTGGAGAGCTGGCTCAGAGGTTAACAGCACTGGCTGCTCTTCCGATAGGTCCTGAGTTCAACTCCCAGCAACCAGATGGTGGCTCACAACCATCTGTAGATGCGATCTGGTGCCGCCTTCTGTCATGCAGGCAGAATATTGTATACTTAATAAATAAATCTTTAAAAAAATAACAATAAAATAGGCATGTGTAGTTGGACTTTGCTACTTTGTGGGTTCTTCTTTTTCCCACTCTTTATCCCCCATCCCTGTTTCACCCCAGTTTCAATAGATAGGAAAGAAAGGCTAGCGGGTGGGTGGGTAGGGGAAGAGTCCTGAATCTAATTTATTTCTTCTTGTTTTTTTCTTTGAGCATGACTACTAACAAATTGCAACAACCCCCCCCCCCCCATGACCAAAAACCATGAACCCACCTATCGGGGCTATAGCATTTATATACCCTCTGAAAAGTTCCCAGAATTCCAAATGCCACACAATCGCAGAAACTCTCTGCAGCTGGCAAATCCGAGCCTCTGCTAGAGCACGAGGCAAATCATAGTCAGCTCCTGCAAAGCAGCCCCATATCTCCACACCTAGCATTAAAACAAAAACATATTTTTATATTTGTGGGTTTTTTAATATAAAGATTTACTTATTATATATACAATGTTCTGCCTGCATGTACACCCACACACCAGAAGAGGACACCAGATCTCATTCTAGATGGTTATGAGCCACCACTTGGTTGCTGGGAATTGAACTCAGGACGTCTGGAAGAGCAGCCAGTGCTCCTAACTGCTGAGGTGTCTCTCCAGCCCTTATTTCTCTCTCTCTGTCTCTCTCTGTGTGTGTGTGTGTGTGTGTGTGTGTGTGTGTGTTTAAAGAAACCAAAATTCCAGAATTCTCATTACAGGCATGTGATAGGATATAGCTACTGGAGTCTCTGCCTCATACTTGGACTCTGAGTATATCTGTCTGCTTGAGAACAGAGAGAGGGCCAATTGTGAAATACTATATAGGCCTTGGATCTTAGATATGTGATTTGGGATTGAGCAGGAACAGAGTAAAATGTTCTGAGCAGGGAGCAGAGTGCACATGCTACGTGAGTGTGTTGCTGGAGATCAGACTCAGCCTTGTACATGCTAGGCACTACCCACTGAACTACCCTACCCGCCCTGGGGCATCTCTTATCTTTCCCCTACAACCTCTCGTCTTAAATAATCTAACCTCTTATTATAATTCTGATGCAGTTATTTTTTTTCCTTTGTCGTGTGTGTGTGTGTTTGTGTGTGTGTGTGTGTGTGTGTGTGTGTGTGTGTGTGTGTGTGTGTGCGGTATGCATGGTTTTGCATGTTTGTGGGCACATGTTTATATATGCATGTGAAGGTCTGAGGTTGATGCTGGGATTCAGTCTCATTCCCTCTTCAGCCTTAACCATTCCGGCAGGGTCTCTCAGCTAAACCCAGAGCTCACTCTCACAGCTGGTCAGCTTGTTCTGAGGTATTCTCTGCCTTGGGCTTCGGAGGCTGAAATTACAGACAGGTAAACACAACCAACCACCGCTTATGTGAACCCGGGTCCTCATGCTTGTCCGACAAACTAGTGATCCACCCTCCTGATGCTGACTTAGTCCGTTTGGTGTAGGTCCTGGGAAAAGATTCTCATTTATCGCTATCCAAATGTGGCAGGGTTTTCCTAAAGATTTAAAACATATGTATTTTCTGCATATATGTGGGTGCCTGGGTGGATGTACACGCACCTTGTGTATGTAAAAGTCTGCAGAGACCAGAATATGCCTGGAACTGAAGTTAAGGGAATCACAGGCAGTTGTGAAATGCCATGTGGGTGCTGGGAGCCCGACCCAGCTCCTCCGCAACATCACCAAGGGCTCTTTACCATGGAGCCATCACACCACTCCAGCCCCTTAAGGATTTAAACTATGTCTGCATCTGATGACGATCAGAATCAACTCGAGCATTCATGAGTATATCTGTGGCATGTTCCTTCCAACATGTTGTTTTTCTTCTTGAGGCCCTTCATTGCTTTGTTATAGATGGCTGCTTGTCATCTTTTGGGCCTCAGCTTAAAGCCATGTGCTCAGAAAGGCCTGGCCCAACCGTGGAATCTAATTAGAATTTTATTCATCCTGTCATTCTGAGCATCTCATAGACACTTATTTTCTTTCATTTATAATTTTTTTTAAATTATTTTTTTTCATGTGTGTGCCTGTGTTTATTTGAGCTCTCTCTATCTCTTTTAAATTCTGGTTAGTTTCCTCTTTTTGTTTGCCTGTTTGTCTTCTAAAGAGAGAGAGAAAGGTATAGAGTTGGGTAGATAGGGAGATGGGGAGAATTTGGGTGAGGGGAAACTGTGATCAGAGTATACTGCTTGAAAGAATTCTTTTCAATAAAAATATATAGAAAAGAGTAACACTAAAAATAATGTGCATGGATATTTTGCCTGCATGTGTAGCTTTGCATTTTGTCTGTTGAGGCCAAAGAGGGTGTTGGATCCCCTGGAACGGGAATGGCAGGTGGCTGTAAGTCTTCAGATGGGTACTCAGAATCGAAGTCAGGACCTCTGGATGAGCGGCCCGTGCTTTTAACTGCTGAGCCACCTCTCCAGGCCTGACCATTATTTTCTGTCATACCATAATTGGAAGTCTTCAAATAACTTGTGTTCATTTATTTAACTGTCTCCTCTAAAATGAAATTCAGATGCATTCTAAGGGAAGGGACCTTGTAATTTTACTGAACTTTAGTATTCCTGAACTTTAGTACAGTACAAGTATTAAGTGCTCCATAAATATTTGTTGACTATTTCTTTGGCTGTTACATTTACACTCATTCTTCTACGGTGTTTTAGATTCTGCCATGGCATTGTAGCCCTCAAGGGTTAGGAGAAAATTACACTGCTCCCCTCTCTGTCTCTGAGTACTGAGATCTGCAATTCTGCTCATTTACTGACAAGCTCAGGCGTCTCCTAAGGGTGTCAAGGACCCAAAGGTGCACGGTAATTCTATTAGTTAGTAGCGTGACTGCAACAATCAAGAGAGATGTCAGAAACGCTTTTCAAGTTACATTCGTTGGGTTCCTGAGCAGCTGAAATCGCAAACTACTGCTACAATTAGTTGAGAGCAAAACGCTGGAAGTTTCTTTTTATATTATTTGCATAACGAACTGAGGTATCCTACGCATCCTTTCTTGCGCTCCAGGAAGCTGAGCTCTTGCAGCAGCTCATCCGCCCAATGGGGGGCGGCAGTATCCTAGGAACTTCTTGAAGATGTGTAGGTGGGAGGAGAGATTCGCGTTCAAAATCTTTTTGACTCCACCCACTCTCCGTAGCGCCTTAGCCCGCTCGAGTTTCAATGCGCGTTGTTGCTGTACGAAGCTGAGTCCTATACAGCGCCCGCAGTTCTCCCGATCATGGCTTCTTCGAGTTCCTTCACCTACTATTGTCCTCCATCTTCCTCCCCTGTCTGGTCAGAACCTCTGTACAGTCTGAGACCTGAGCACGCGCGGGAACGGTTGCAAGACGACTCAGTGGAAACAGTCACGTCCATTGAACAGGTGAGGTGGCAGGACTGGGCGAGGCGCCCGCGCGGGGCCTTCTGGGAGCAGGAGTCCCATTTGTAGCCCCATCTGGGTGCAAAACTCTCCGTAGAACTACAACTCCCATCGTGCAGTGCGTCCCCACCCCGGACCCCGAGCTCCAGGCTCCCAGACCAGGGCTTCGGAGTGTCATGTTTGTGGGGCTGGCTTAGGTAGGAAAGGGTTGTTGTCAGGGTTGGGCTTAGAGGACAGGACAGTGCCTCTGTCCTCTCTGCTTCAGAAGGTGTAAAGGATCGTGTTCTCTATCTGGAGTCCACAGAAGCCTGGGCGGACCAGGTAGCCCGCTCCATTCTGTCTAGATGTCTTGAGATTCTAGGACCGCCGCTCCGTTTCCCTCACATGCTTCCAGTTTGCGGACATTTGGGGGACTGAACAGCCGTAATAGTCCTGCTATCCCCAAATCGGTTTAATCTCTGACCTGCTAGGTCAGGTTGAGGCCTACCTCGCGGTGGGTAATCATTTGGGTGCCTGCTGTTTGAACGGTGGAAATACAGAAAAAGAAAACAGCCCGTAGGCAGGAGCCTGACTGGCTGGAAAACTGTATAGTTGGGAACGAACAGAAAAGTGTGGAGTTTGAACTGCTTGTGATTCGCTAAGGCCTAGGGTGTACCGGACGTGCCATTTTGAACAGTGTTTAAGGTGTGAGTAGTAATTTATAGTTTTCATTTTTTCTCACTCTCCGTTTGGAATTGTTCCCAAATTGGTTGTTGTAGAGCTGTTTACCCATCTGTTACTAGAAGTGGTCAGGCTGAGGCTTGACAGCGCCAAGAAATAGGCACCCAGCCACTTAACCAAATTAAGATCTTGCTAAGATCAGTCCTGAGGCTTAGCCATGGAGGGACCTGCTTCATCTTTCATATCTAAAGCTGGGAGGCTCTATTTAGGCAAAATTAGTAGCAATAATGACTATATAAATTTTACAGTTGTGACTAAATACACATTTGTTTTAATTTTTACGTATGTGAATGTGTGTACGGCATGTTTGAGGTTGCTGGTGCCGAGCCATAGCTTTACCCACTGAGCCATCTCATTTGCCCTAAATAAAATCTATAACAAAACAGGGGATTGAACACATGGTTGTTCTCATAGTAGCAGAGGGAATATTTTAATCTTTGAGTCAAAGCCTCCTGGGCTTTAGGGTAATAAAGGAAACTTGCTTTTTGAATCTAGCCCTCCTAGTTAACTTGTGCAAAACATTTCAAAGACATCTTTCATTGTTGACTAAACCTACAGAATCTTTGCAGTGTTTAAAATGATTTTTTTGTTTTTGTTTTTGTTTTGAGACAGGGTTTCTCTGTGTAGCCCTGGCTGTCCAGGAACTCACTCTGTAGACCATGCTGGCCTCGAACTCATGGAGGTCCACCTGCCTCTGCCTCCCAAGTGCTTGGAGGGATTAAAGGAGTATGCCACCACCACCACCACCTACCTAGAGTGATATTTCTGTAGCTGGGTAGACTATGGCAAGCCTTTTTTCTTTTGAAGTTACAAGGTTAAACATGTCTCCCTCCCTTCCATCTTTTATACCTTTAACTGAACTGACTTTAACCCACTGCTGTGATCCTCTAATGTGGTTCCCCGTGTTGTGATGACCCCAACCACAAACCTGTTTTCGTTGCTACTTCATAACGGTCATTTTGCTCCTGTTATGAATCATAATATAAACACCTCGTGTTTTCTGGCAGTCTTAAAGCAACCCCTGTGAAAGGGTCTTCATGACCCACAGCTTCAGAAGTGCTGACTTAGCAGATCAGGGGTTACAGGATGCTAATGAGGGAAAGAGAATCGGAGATGGTCTGTCACTTTACAGAAATGTCTACGCTTTAGAGAGGGAACAGGGACATTAGTGAGGAGTTTACAGCTATCTTTTTTTGTGTAGTGCTGTATTCTTTTCAGTAGACCACTGAAGTTCCTGCCTGCTCTGTTCTTGTAAGGAAAACAATTTAAGTTCTGTGTAGGCCTAACGAGCAACACGAAAATGGACCCAAGATGCTCTGAGAAGGGATGGGCCAAGGTCAGGGCTGGGGCAGATGCTGGGTCCCGATAGGTTGATGTAGTCTTTGAGATAACAAGCCTAATGGTATGATAGAGTCATATATTTCATGTCGCGCTGCAGCTCCCACTTTAAAAGTCTAGGTAGAAGAGTTGTGGTTACTAGGAAGGGAATGTGATACTTCATTCTCATGACTTCAATAATTGCCACAGTGGCCATTCATTTGGTTCCAGCTGAGCGCTAAATGTTCTCCAGCCATTGGGTCACTCAGTCCTTACACATTCTGACGGAGAAGGCAGAGGCCGAGAGAACTCTCAGGTTGGTGGTTAACGTAGTGCAATCATCAGAAATAGCATTGCTGGGAGGAATTGCTCACGGAGGATTCTGTTTGAATCTTTTGGTTGTGACTGAAGCTTCCTCAGGGATTTACTGACAGCTCAATTTTGTGTCTTGGCAGTTTTGTGTAAGCCACCTCGTGGGGTTGTCCTGGGGATTGAACCCAGGTCCTCTGGAAGAGCAGCCAGGGCTTTCAACCACTGAGCCATCACTCTAGCCTTCAAGAACTTCCTGAAAGACAATAACAGAAGGTCTCACAAAGCGCTCCTTCCACTATTTTACAGTTTTAACTCCTGTCATTAAACTATTAAATTATTGTCTAACAAATGAAGCCTCCAAATAATGAGCTAGGAGGGAAATGGCAAGCATTAATCTACTGTCACGACGCAAAACTGAGCTGCCAGTAAACCCCTGAGGAAGCTTCAGTCTCAGGACATCTGATGTCCTGCCCTGGCTTGCAGGAGCCCTTTGTTCATGCAGTACACACCCATACACCCAAAGTATTAAAACAAAAAAATTAAAAAAGAGAATCTTTTAGGTCCTAGGCACTGTTCAGACAGTTGGTACGAGTCAGCGAACAAAGGAAATGGATTTGATGTTTTTAAGGATTTTTTTTCTCTCTCTCCACACCAGGGGAGTCAGCCAATTAAGAAAAGAGAAGCATCAGGAATGGGGGTGTAGCTCAGTGGTAGAGCATGTCCATAGCATGTGCAGTGCGGATCCACCACCAGGACCACAAGGAAGGGAGGATAAAAAGAATCAGTCTAAACATTTAAGACATGCCAAGGATGTCACGTGTGATCTGAAGTATGTGAGAGAACAGATCATGAGTGCACCCTGTGGATGCGAGTTCTGCTCAGAGAAAGGGTGTACAAAGGACCTGAGGTGGGAACGTGCCAGGTGAGGAAAGAGGCCAGTAGACAGGACAGTGCATGAGATGGACTCACGAACGGCCTGTGGCTGTTGTGTTAGAGAGGGCCAATTGAAACAGCAAGCCATCTGGCTGGAGAGCTCGCATTTACCAACCAGAACTACCACGCTCCTTTCTACCTCGATCTTTAGATTTGCCTCAGGAAGTAGCTCTGTACTGACAGGCTCCCTTGCCTAGGGTGCTGGGCTTGAGCCATGAAATATTGCTAGGAGACAAGAGGGTGAAAGATAAGATCAGCAGATTTCCTCACTCTCACAGTGGTGTGGACTGACATTTTCCCAGACTTAAGGTCCTACCTTCTCAGGTGCCTTCTCCACAGAGACCCAGACTCTCTCTCCACTCCTCCCCTTCCCACCTTTAGACCTGTTAGCTGCCAGTACTCAGCAGCGACACAGTCTGAACGACACTTTAACAGGCTCCTCAGGTTCCCGTCAAGAATTATGTGGGGGGCTGGAGAGATGGCCAAGCTTTTGCGAGCGCTGCCTTTCCAGAGGACCAGACTTTGGTTCTCAGCACACAGCCTTGTGACACCCTACTCCAGGAGTATCTGAAGCCTCTGATCTCCAAGAGCACCCACACTCAGATGAACCGCCCCCGTGTGTGTGTGTGTGTGTGTGTGTGTGTGTGTGTGTGTAGATGAGGGTGGAGGTAAGAGGCAATGGTTGAGAGGCCACTGTACTGTTCTGGGTGAGAAGTGACAGCTGCTTACAGAGTGGCTGTTGTGCTCTGAGAAGGAACGGTCAGCTTCTTGACAGTTTTTGAAGGCCCTATCCCTTGATAAATATTTTGCCAGTGGATGTGATGTGAAGGGCCTTTTATAAGTAGACAGCAATGTGAGGTTGTGCTTTTAGTGTCCACCTTCATCAGTACGTTGCCATCAGGAATACCCTATTGCCAACTATTTATTTAATATTAAATAAATTAACACAGATAGTTTCAGTCCCAGTGGTGGCCTTGCCAGTATTTGTTTATAATATAATATATACTATTGCTGGTTTTTTTTTTTTCTTTCAATTTATCCTTGAACAGACACCAAAACATCTCCATTTGATTTTTTTTTTCTTTTTTCTTTTTTGAGACAGGGTTTCTCGGTCCTGGAACTCACTCTGTAGATCAAGCTGGTCTTGAACTTGGAGAACTGCCTTTGCCTCCTGAGTGCTGGGACCACAGGGGTGCGCCACCACTGCCACACAGCTGCGTCTTCCACTTGAAATGCCGGCGATGTCACCAGTCAGACCACTCTAAGGGGAGCGTTAGAGAGTAGGATTTCAACGTCAAGTTTCTGTAAATCCACAAGGGAGGGTAAGGCCGGGCATGGTGGTGCATCCCTGTAGTCCTGGCGCTTAGAGGAGGAGACACGGAAACCAGTTAGAGGCCAGCTGGTGATACATAGCAAGACCCTATCTATAAAAAACAAAACAAAACAAAACAAACAACAGATGAATAAACACAAAAATAAAACCAGCCTGAACATGTAGCTCAGTGCCGATGTGCCTGGTTCAATCCCTAGGTCTATGAAAGGAAAAAAGTTCACAGACATTTCTGGTTGGGATGAAATACCTGTACTTTTAGACTTTGAGCTGTGTAGTGAGCAAACCAAGTGCCTACTGAGAACATTTACATTTGAATTTAGCTGACTGTGGGCCTTGGGATGTGGCTTGGCTGTAGAGAGAGCACTTCCTAGCCTATGTGAGGCCCTAA